GAAAAAAGAAGAAAGAACTAAAGCGCAAACTACGTTGCTGGTAGCCATTATTAACTCAAGAGATTTACTACGTGTCCTTAATTTGTTAATGAAAAATCAATGGAAGTAGCTGCGTATTTATACTATTTTTCTGCCCACAAAGTCCCGATATTTCTGTCTTTCAGGGGAAAAATGTGAGGCTTCTTACAAGGAATGCGGAGAATACAGAACATTAGCCAGCTGCATCTTACAGTTTATGGTGGTTTTCTGCTAATCTTTCTAGAAACATGACGAAAAACACCTTATAATTGGATTCATATCCAATCCAGTTAATAGTCGAAAGATGAAAGGTAAATTTGTGTAGAAACGCGAAGTTTTTGGTGGTTTCTTGCATGGTTGTGCCAGGGTGTGCTTGCTTGCCACATATGGTTGAGATAAAGACTGGTTGCTATCATGATTTTAATTTGAACTAAAAAAAACATTGACTGGGCAGGTTGACTTACGACTTGGTTCTCCCATTTAAATTCCATTAAATCAATACCAAAAAAAAAATTATTTAAAAAATAAATAAAATTATATTAATTTGATATAAAATATTGACATTTAATGACTAGTGATTTAGAATCTTTTTAGAGCCAAATTCCGCATTGGTTATGGCAATTATATTTCCTTGGTTATATAATAAAGAAAAGAAAGGCAACTTTTGCCTTTTATATAATGCAGAGCACCTGAAACTGCATACCATATACCATGCTAGAATTAAGATTATTCTACCTTTCTTTTTTGTGAGAAATGTCCAGGTTCCGAGAAATTTAAGATTAGGGAGGGAATTAAGAAATAAATGATTTTTGGGTGCAAAACATGTAAAATCATAGGTTATAATTAATTTTTTTCAAAATTTTAGGATTAAAATGTAAGATCTCAAAATATGTAAAACCTTGCCCATCTAATTCATAGGCAACAAACAGCCCTTTAGTCCATGTAAATGTAGATCTTCAGCAACAGTTGCACGCCTTCCTCCGGTTGGATGCTTGTACTGAGCTTCAGTTTCAATGTTCTCGAAGTACTGTTCGGTAACGGTGGTGCACCACAATAAAAATATCAAAAACATCATTTTTGGTGTTTTTGCAGCGCACCGTGTTGCTAAATGGGCACTCCAAAAATAAAATCCAAGTCTTTCCAATTTTTCAGAGAAGAAGTCTCTGGGAAGAATCTTGGAATCTGTAACACGTATGTATAAAGTACTTGAATTTGGCAGATGTTTCGGCCCGGCAAGGCTAGCATTGTTTCTTTGACAATCTAGTCGTTCAACTTCCCACGGCAGAAAGCTGCTTTTCATGTACGAGTCCTCTAGCTGCCTCGAGCATGGCAGCACATCTGGGGAATCATTTCAAGCCGTGGATTGTCTCTCAAGTCCAGAAGTTGCGGGCGAGTAAATGCCCAATTTCACTCAGCAGCGGAACAATGTAAGAATACTGCTTCCATATCCTTTCAAAGAGTTGTAGCTCAACTCTAGAGCTGAATGAACTTGGCCATCCATTTCATCCTTGTCAAACCTCTTCAACTTTTCCAAAGCATTCTTCCACTCTGACGAATCCCCATCTTTTAATGCCCTCGCTATGGTACCGAGCAAAATGGGCAAACCAGTACACATCTTCTGGCTACTTCTACAGCAACAAACTGCAGATCAGGATATCTGATAACATCACCTGCAATCTTCTCAAACAAATTTTGAAGCAAGATTTTTTTGTGTACCCATTCCTCGGGATAATGCATCTCGATATCTTGATGTCATATCATCTAGTTAAAGTCACTCCCGAAAGTCTTCCAAAATTACTAGGAAATCTGGTCTCCCACTGCCAGTCTGTGCATCTAATTTGAAACCTATCCCATCTGCTATTTCCCCATTGAATCTTTCTCAGGTTAGGAGTCTGAGATACAACAGCCAGAAACACAACATCAAAAATCCCGTCTGCCTCGACTTGTCCAGCAATTTCTTTCACAAGCTTGGTGGCATCCTATACTTTCCAACTAGGTCAACACCACCATACTTGTCCCCTAGCTCACGTCGGGCAAGAAGGTAGGGGCACCCTATCAAATTTTCCATCCATGATTTCAGAAATTACTCTTTTACTGAAGAGAAAGTGAAATCGTGTTTAAAGTAATTTTCCTCCCTTTTTTATTTTTTAAAGAACAATTAAAGAAAAAAAAAATTGAAAGTTTAAAATCAAGCTATCTGAATGATGAGCAATACAAGATAACTTAATTCACTGATTTTTTTTTATTTTTTTAAACGATTTTTGACCCCAAAGACTTAAAAATGATTAGATGATATATATATATATATATATTGGAATAAGATGTTTCAATCACGTCATTAATCATCTAGATCCTGATATAGATATTAATATGTCAATTTTCTCATAACGGAAGTGCATTTAATGAACATAATCAAAATTGATCATGCTCTTACTCTTCACTACAACACACCACAGGGCAAAAAAAAATAACAGAAAAAATTCATCTTCTGAAATTACAAAAAAAAATAGAAGGGAAAAGGGTTACACGACGTGGCTTTATAGCTAGTTTATGCGTAGTAGTTAAGGCTGGCTTTTTTCTTCGCTTGCACTTGGATGATACCTTCATTAAAATCCTCATGGTTCACCTGTTTCCAAATCCAACCAATACAAGAATTTAGTAAGCACTTAGTAGCTTGCAACCAGCAAAGCAAATGCAGAAAACAAGTGAAGCAAAATTAAATTCTTTTTGTAGACAAGGGTATTTATGTAATTTTCCATATTTGTTCATGCATATACCTAATCAACCCTACAACAATTACCTATCAAAGATTCAGCCTAAAATCCCCCAAAACACTGTTCAAGAACTATTCACAGCTCAGAACAGCCCCCAAAGGGGTCCTGCATCATGTCCTCTTGTTTTTTGACTATTGAGAAACCAGATTCAAACTGTAGCCAATACTATCGTTTGACAAGAAAGATGCTGAAGAGTTCAGTTTTTTATTATTATGTTGACAAGTCAGGCTTTCACTCGCCAAAATAATTGTTCTCAGATTAGAAAATGAAACAGGATATGCGTGAGAGAGTACCTCAGTTGCATCCCGGCGAAGTGCTAGCATCCCAGCTTCAACACAAACTGCCTTTAGCTGTGCCCCATTGAAATCATCCGTGGAACGAGCAAGCTCTTCAAAGTTCACATCAGGATGGACGTTCATCTTCCTTGAGTGGATCTACAACATCAGAGGAAAAAAAAATACAATCAAGACTATTGTTTTCACGTGAAATACAAGTGAAAAGGGACATCCAAACAATTCTGTCACAACAAACCTGCAAGATTCGAGCTCTTGCTTCTTCAGTTGGATGTGGAAATTCGATTTTGCGATCCAATCGACCTGATCGCATGAGGGCTGGGTCCAGGATATCAGCACGATTTGTTGCAGCAATCACCTGAAAATTATAACATGAACTAGTGAATTATTATTCCACAAACATGTCAGATGAAATTTAGTGGGAGTAATTATATTTAAGAGTAATTATATTTAAACACAGGAGATGCCTGAGCAATGATGCAAGACTTCATAGTTCACAGAAGCCAAGATATTCACCCCAACAAGAAATATCAAAGAGTGCATTTTTTGAAGGGAAAAAAAAAGTACTAACAAACCTTAATGCTATCGTCGCTGCTAAAGCCATCAAGCTGATTGAGCAATTCTAACATGGTCCTCTGCACTTCCCTGTCTCCACTAACCTCACTGCACATGGTAATGGGATATTTAAAATCATCAATGATAAAACCAAGCAGCAGGAGCAGCACTCTGACTTTGAAAGCTAGTGTGAAAAAAAGTTGATTGCCTAAGTTGTAATAATGGGATATACCCTAAGATGTAAAAATGGGATATACCTGTCAAACCGCTTTGTGCCGATAGCATCAATCTCATCTATAAAAATGATGCAGGGAGATTTCTCTTTTGCAAGCTGGAAGGCATCACGGACAAGTTTGGCACCATCTCCAATGAACATCTGA